TAACAATTTCACTTTTATCATTTTACCAAATAAATTAATGGAAATATAATTGCTGTCCAAGTTATTCCACAATCTTACTCCTTGAACTGAGGTACATCTATCTTTCAAGTTTATTTGAAGTTTTGGTTTTATAAACATTTCAAATCCTTTCAAATTGTAACATCTTTCCCTCTTAATTTCAGCTGGCATGATGCAAAATTAATAAGTGTAAAGGTGTATAAAATAGAATGAGCATAAAACACTATCATTTATTTTATTATTTCAACTGCATTTGCTCAATGATAGCTAAATAAGTTATGGAAGTGACTTTGTTTGGACTACATTGGTGTGATGGTGGTAGTCTCTCTTCCAAAGCAGATTTGGCTAATTTAAAAATAATCATACTGATTTGTGTTAAAAGTCTTCTAGAAACCTTCACAATTCTGTCAGTTGTTTTTAACTTTATTTTTCACATTTACAGCAGTAACATTTGACTTGTTACCTGATAATTTACATGAAAACACAAACCAGTATAAGCTGATGCAGTGGGACTGCAAAATATCTACAGGACATGCACTTGTACTAAGTACAAGGTACATACTAGGCTGTATTGTGTATTACTACTCTAGTAACTGCAAAACTGGCTCCATGTATTTAATTAATTGTGCTGATATTATTTTTATCCAGGTGACAGAGACTGCAGCCTCATATATTTAGATGTATTTAGTGGAGAAAACCAAGTTACCTTCATGTCACTGATCATCACCCCAGCATGAACTGAGGTCTCATTTACACGGGGTCGCTGTCTTTTCAAAGRGATCATTTTCTTTGTTCACTCAACCCTGTTTTTAGAAATGTTTTTATCCAAACTGAAGCAGAAAATAAACCAAACACTGTAGTAACTATGCCAGGCCTGTATGTGTGGCGCTGTGACACTGACATGGAAATTAATATCAGAAACGAGAAAGAAGACACGGAGCATGCTGGTTCAAATGGTAAACACAAGAAAAAGAAGATTCATGGTAAATTCAAGAACAAAAACTAAATCCTTGTTGTGGACTGATCATGAAGGGGAATTTTTTACTTTCTGTCACATTCCACTACTACTGGCCRTACATGTCAAGCTGTGTGGACTGTCCACAATTTTTTCCCCATTTTGCAGGTATACAGACRTAAAGAGAAATCTCCCAATTTTATTTTTTCAAATCTTATGGATTTGTTTTTGTAAAACTCAGCTTAAAATATGTTTGATGTCTCAGAGTCTTAAAGTAAAAATTACAGACTTTGAGGGTAAAGATACTCATAAACATCCAAAGGGGTTGACATAATTCTGAATGGTGAAATAATGCTTTTGTTTTGCTCTATTCAAGGTCAATTTTATTGCTCATCAGCCTCGTCTGTTTATTGAAAACATCGATTTTGATGTAGTCAAAAAAGTGGAGTCTGGAACACAAATGTAAACATGTCGTTTGTCATTGTTGTTATATTTGTGATGCCTGGGGCCATTGGTTAGGCAGGAAGTGGGTCCGGTTCAATGACAAATGTTGTGTTTAACTTTTAAAACTACAATTTTTAAATGACTTGCCCAAAACTTATGATGAACAAAACACAGTTAAGTTTTGTTCCAATATATTCATACCTATAAAAAACACTATGCATCATGTCTTTGGCTTTAATGCGAATTAGTGAATGCACAGAGTAATACAACAAGAAACATGATTAAAGATAAATATATCTAATTAAACATTTTTGTTTGTACTTTGTACAATAATCAAACACCACAAGTTTAAAATGGGTAAAATTCATTAGCAGCTCAAAGTTGAGCTTGTTTAGAATTTTTGCATGATTTATTATAATAACAGCTGCATTGGTTAATGGTTTCCATTCAGTAATTAGTTATAACATTTTGTCACCCTCCTGTTGACACTTCAGTCTCTGTGGAGCCATTTCTCAATTAGGTGATTAGTTCCAAAGACCAGAGAAATTAGTACCTTCTGTTACCGTCCACAGAACTGTAAAATGTATCTAAAACTATAATGCTTATATTGCTATTAAACTTATCTAAATGAAAACAACTCTCTGATGTTTTTTTTAAGTAGGTGAAAGAGCAGAGGAGAAATATGAGGTCACAGTAAATATGGATCGTGGGTTTTATGTTTCATGACATGAGTAACTTAGTGAGTCTGAGAGAGACCACCTGGGCCCAAGGTTTGTAACCAGAGAGTAGATTTCTGGCCACGTASAATAAGCGTTTCTAATCTTCTAAGTCTCACATGCACTGTGTCAAAATATCAAAGCAGGAAAAATATAACTCGTGTTAAAACGTGAGAGAACATTTACTTGACCTCAAAGTTCTTCTAGTTAATATTGATTATTGTTTGTTGCATGCCAACAAATTTGCGTGCACTGTATAAATAATAAAAAAAACCAGTGAGACAGTAGTTATGTAGAAATCACACAAACACGTCTGTGAAGATTATGCAAACAAGAGAAAGTAAATTTTTCTTGGTATTATTTTAGAATCATTCCTGGACCATTTATGATTTCAAACAAATCAGTAAATTTGTAACATTTCTTGAAGGAATTCAATGCAGTCTGATGAMTTTAGCTTGAAAGATGTTGGTTGTGACTTGGTGCTACATAAATAAAATCAACTGAAATGAACTGAAGGAATCCATATCACCTGCTGTCTTGCAAGCAAAAGTTTTAAACATTGATCTTTAGCTCAATGTCTGTAAAATGAGCTTTGAAGCTCAAATTTGAGCTCAGGTCCATTCCACTTCTCATCCCTGTTTTAAAACACTTCATTGCAGTTGACCTGTGGCAAATTCAGATTGAACGTGATTTGGAAAGGTACATACCTGTCTCTATAAGGTCCCACATTTTAAAGTGCATGTCAGAGACCAAACCAAGCATGAGGTCAAAGGACTTGTCTGTAGACCTCAGACAAAAAACTGGGGAAAGTTACAAATACATTTCCTCTGCYTTGAATGTCCCAGTGAGCATTATCATCATTAAATGGAAGAAGCTTAAAACCAATAAGACTCTTCCTAGAGCAGGCCAATCATCTAAACTGAGTGCTCAGTGGAGAAGGGTCTTTGTTGGGGAGGTGACCAAGAACCAAGTGGTTCACTCTGTCAGGGATTCATTGTTTCATCTGTGGAGGGAGGAGAAATTTCCAGAAAGATAACGATCTCTGCAGTGATCCACCATTCAGGCCTGTGGTCGAGAGGCCCGACGAAAACCATTCCAAAATAAAAGACTCATGAAGATAAACCTGAAGGAGCATGAAAAACAAAATTTCCCTGATCTGATAGGACAAAGATTGAAGGTCAGACATCATGTTCATCACAGGGTTAATACCACTCCTACAGTGAAGCGTGGTGGTGGTAGCATCATGCCGTGGGGATGTTTTTTTTAAGCAGTAGGAAGTGAGAGATTAGAGGGAAATATCACCACAGCAATGTACAGAGACATCCTGGAAAGAAATGTGCTCCAAAATGCTCTTGACCTCAGTCTGGGGCAACAGTTTATCTGTCAGTAGGACAACAATYCAAAACATCCAGCCAAGACATCAAAGGACAGATTTCAGATCAACTCTGTGAAGAGATCATTGAAGGGTCCAACCAGAGCCCAGACTTCAATCCTATTAAACAACTCTGAAGAAATCTGAAAATGGTTGTGCACTGACTCTCCCTATCCAACCTGACAGAGCTTGACAGGTTCTGTAAAGAAACCACCCAGAGACAGGTGTCTCAAGCTTGTGGCATCGTGTTCAAAAAGACTTGAGGCTGAAATCGTTGCCAAAGGTGCATCAAAAATAGGCTGTGAATACATGAGTACATGTGATTTCTCGGTTTGTTTGTTTTTCAATAAATTTGCAAACATAAAAAAAAATCATGTTGTCATTATGGGGTGTTGTGTGGAAGTTTGAGCAAAAAAAAGTTTCATTTTGGAATAGAGTTGTAACACAATGTAGAAAAAGTGAAGTGCTGTGAACACATTCCTGATGCATTGTATGTTTTGGGTGTTAATGTTTATTTATTTTTTTTAGCTTTTCTGTTTGTAAATCCAACTTATTTAGGTGACTGTTTTACAGTTTGACCATAGAAATTGACTACAGTTTTCCCAATTTTTATTTTCTGTTTTCAAGACATTTCACATTTATCTTTCTATATTGACACAATGATGTCTTCTTTGGTCTATAATTCCCTTTAACAACCTTCCTTTTTACTTGGTCCAGTACAAAATACTTGGTATTTTTGTACTTGGTCCAGATTTTATACACAGCTAAATGTATCACTTGACATTWTATTTGTCATATTAACTTGTTTTATAGAATGTTTTTATGCTTACAGTATATTGTATGTTTGTATTTATTTTAGTTTTGCTCCTTGTGAAGCACTAAAAAAGTGCTAGAACAATAAAATGTACTTGAATGAAAGCAACCAACATAAAGTATCTTGCAACATTATGTGATGTTTCACTATTTTAAAGAAGCTTCAAATTCCTCTCCTGTTTCAACTTACATCTCTCATGTTTGAGCTATAAAACGTGACCATTCTTTTTAAGTAGATTAACAAACAGATTTAATCTAATGCAGRTGTTTATTTTAAAGCTGCAAAGACTGATACRACTATTWTTTTTCCTTAGAATTGAGTGGGACYGTATTTTAGAACATWAGAAACAACAGCTGGYATGAGAGCTTAAAATAAGTWATGTGTTGCCCTTGAGTCAAACTGATTTTCTSATTATAATTTATTTCCATCACACCYACGACAATAGCTTTTTTAATCCTTTTTATTTCTTCAGACATGTAGTGAGTGTGATTCTTCAGATGGACAAGTGAAAACACAGAAGTGTGTGTTTCTTCAAAACGCCCGAAGCTCTCAGTCTGACCTCGTCCCCTCTCCATCTTCCTCTCACCTTCTGCCTCCGACTCCTTTGCCCTGGGGCACCAATAGGTGGGCCTGTAGGAGAGATGAGCAAAAGGGGCCCCTGGCATCACCTGTAATTTGGATTGAAAAAAAAGGGAGGAAAAACACCAAAAGAATGATGGGTAGACTTAACATTGTTAGGACAGTGCTCGGGTGAGGAGAAATGAAGTAAAWATCAATGGCGGTGGTCTCATATAGCCCATTTGTCAATGTCTGAGATCAGCAAAGAGCAGCCCCCGGGCTTCGCTCCACCACCACCACTGTCTTCCTGCTGAATTGTACCTATGCAAAAATAAAGCAACCTGAGCTGGACATAAATCATAAGGAACATTTGTTACCTCGGGAAATTGTGCTTCATCCATCTTTAGGCCCTTTTTTCCTCCATTTGTCAACCCCTGGGGCTGCAGGGTGTCAGCTCTGCAGGTCTGCACAGTAGGTTAAGCTGGCTGCGCCTAACGAGAACCTGCAGGAAACACTGATACTCAGAGTGGGAGTCTCAGGCTGCTATTCACATTTTCTTCCACACTGAACATCACAAATGTTCATCATGCATTCATTTACAATCGTGACAAATGTAAGATTATTAAAATTATTGACTCTATGGACACACTTTTAAGATAAGATAAGATAAGATAAGATAAGATAAGATAAGATAAGATAAGATAAGATAAGATAAGATAAGATAAGATAAGAAAAAATAGCTTCGTAATCCCAAAGGAAATTTGTCTTGGGTACAGAACATGACTGCTGCCCAGTTGATTAACACATCAAACACATTTTTATATTGTTGTGCAGTAAACAAAACAAAAAATGCTTCCCCTAAGCCAAAGTATCATCTGTACTGTAACCATTTGCAGTATATAGTTTGGTCTAATTAGATGGAATAATGTTTYTTGCCCATATTTTTGTTTATTGCTGAATTGTTTTATCAACCTTTGAACAAACTTGCACAAAGTAATTATGGATATGTGCCTACAGCTATTTTAGCTTTAGAGTCAGCTTGATTCAAGATAGCTACCCCAGCCAACTGACCTTAAACAC